GAGGGGAGCTGCTGAGACAAAACTGGGTGCAAGATGCTGCTGAAGGACCCAATCGGACAAAATCACGCATCCGCAAAAAAGCTCGGAGGCGATCTAAATGGGTATAGCATTTCGATCAGTGGAGCAGTGTCCCATTTAGTGTTCACATAGTATGCACAGTAGCAATCCTGTTTGTTGTTACAACAGGTGCTAGGAACACTGTGTCTGGGTTTAAGGACTGGCGTGTCTGAAGAAAACAAAATCACAACAGAAGATAACACAGGTAAAAAAAATTTGATTTTATTTCTGTTTGCTTTTACCAGAATGTGAGTGTTGGATGTAAGATCAGTAGGAAAATGTGTTGCTTTTGTAACAGAGCCCAAAATCCTGTGTGAAGTTGGAACAGAAGCTAAAGAGGATGACAAGGAGGGAGGACAGGATTGTATCCGTTTGACCTTCTTTCCTGTTCTGAATGAGACGACTGCTGTCAATGAAGGTTCTCCGGACCCCTTAACCCTTGAACCTTGCTCCCACATGAAAGACTGCCCCAGCATACGCATCATCCTGCAGGAGCTGCACCCTGGAGAGGAGGTACTGTAGCACAGGAGGGTGTTGGTATGCTGGGCTAAAAACATGTCGAAACACAAGCACAACTCTTTCCTTCCCTGCTAATATTCACAATCATAATTATCTGATGTAGACTAAGGGATTCCAATAGCCCAGCGCTGCTATCAGAATTTTATCTTTCCTCATTAGTGTAACGTTTTAATGTTTAGGCCCAGCTCAGCTCTTCTCATTCTTCCAGTGAGTTAGAAACCAAAGCACATGTTGACAAGGACTCTCATCGCTCCGGCAACCAGCCGCGGCTTTTAATGTTTCTGACAGAAGTATTAATAAAAACAGTAGGAGGTGATGCAAGCTGTCTTATATCCGCTTAGTAAGTGTGTGAAGTGTGCAAGTGTGTCCTGTTGTCTTGCAGTGGTTCAGTGTGAGTCCTGCTGAGCTTCCTGTCAAATGAACACAGTCATTAGCTCTGAAAAATGCACACACACACACAACCGGGCTAACACACACACATAGTAACACACAAAGGGAGACCCACTCATAATTAGCTTGCCAGCGCCAATAGTGTGATTATGACAGTAATGTGTGTGGGGAGAAATCAATGGTCTGACATTAGGCTCTCAGTCAATAAAAGTCCTCATTTTTTCTCCTTCTTCCCATCATCAGCTAAATCACCCTCAGACTGATAACGCATATCTGTCCAGAGCACAGTAAGGAGATAAGGAAACAAGTTTACTCTTATGTATTTAGCCTTTGATAACAGTAAATTTAACTAGTTTTTTTTTCTGTAATCTACTCATTGTTAGGGACAGTTGGCCTGATGCCTGTTTGTGTTAACTGATGGAAATTGCCAGTGTGACCATGATACAGTATGGTTCAATGTAAAATTTCTGCACCATGTAGCTGTGACCCACTCACCGCGACTCGTCATAAACATTTCATATGACAAGCAGTTTTATCTGTCATAGTGCATTTCTACTGTGTGCATTCAGACAAAAGGCTCTGATCACTTAGCAGGTTTCTTATTGTGTGTGTGTCAGTGATTAATTCTCCTAATAATAGCCAGTCTGGGCCTCCTCCTCCACCAAGTATGTGACTTCTTGTCTGGGGGCAGGGAGTCTGATTTGATAAGTATAAATTGTGGGGGGCCTGCGGGTATGTTGGGGCCCCATATGGTTTTTGGACACTATGTCCCAGAGGGCCTGCAGAGGGGCCAACACAGAGAGACAGCCAGGTGCACACACTCACTGTGAAATGAAGGGAGACAATAGAATTAACAACACATTATCACAATGCAGTTAGCATTAGCTACAACCAGCACTGAAAGCAGCATGTGGGTCCACTTTGGCACCGAATGAACCAGTCTCACTACTGAAGAAAGGGGCCAGGCCTTCTCCTCCCCATCAATCAGCTCTGATAATGAAGTGTTCAACTGTGTCTTTTTAATAATGATTAAAATATGTGATTAAAATGATCAATCAAGTAAGGCCTGAAGTGCCTGTGTTGCTGCCATGTCATGTCCCCGGAGAGAAATGTGCTGACGTGTGTGTGTAATGTGTAATCACATGGGTCCCAATGTCTCTCTCTTCTCTCTCTATCTTTCTGTAGGTAAAAGCTAAGATGTGTGTACTGATGGTGAGTGGTCTCAGAGTGACAGAGGGAGTGCTGCTGTTTGGAAAGGAGAGCCTGCTCTTATGTGAGGGATTCACACTGAGTCCTCCTGGAGATGTTTGTTGCATCAGCCACCATCCCAGCAGGTACAGCAGACTTGTGTGCAGTTACAGAAAAATAAACAACATATATAATAATAATAGTAGCCCCTGAGTTGTGTCAGATTGTCATCTGTCATTCTTGATGTGACTTTCTCTGTCAGTGTGAGGGATTCCTTCATTTCCACTATGCTGACAAACGATCTGCCATCAGCCAGCTGCAGACGTTGGCTCTATGAGGACATCAAGGAGGCCCGTTTCATGCGTTTCCTTTTAGAGGTCAGACATACATATGCTCCCACGGAGGCCTTGAATTAACATGTATCCCACCTTTACTTTGTGTCTACATAGGATTTCACGTCAGATGTTAAAAATTTGTTTTGCATTTATTTACTCTTGGAGAGGTTTTGTCATTGATGGTTCATGTACAGTATATGGATAAGTCAAGATGTTAAGATGTTAGATTTAAAAGGGATCTCAGGAATAAAATATCCATTTTTTACACTTCAGACCAAAATATCATACCAGAGTCCTAGTGACTAAATAGCCGCTGTGGTTCTCTGTTACTATCAGGACAATGCCATTGAGGTCTTCATGAAAAACGGACACTCAGCCTTCCTGGTGTTCCTAAATAAAGACCATGTCTCTGCGTATAAAAGGTACTACATTTATATACATATATATATATATTGGATGTTTATAAAGGGACTTTACTTATAGCATTCTGCCTCTGATCCTTATTCCTTCTTCTGTCTCTTCCTGCAGGTTGTGTACCATAGTGCCCACATTAAAAGGCAGAGGGGTTATTACTGAAGTCATTGCTAATGCCAGGTAAACGTGATCAGTTAATCACATCCAACAGTGATAGTTTGAAAGAGTTATGTGTAATAACTCCTTTTATTTTATCAGTTGAAATGGAAAAGACCTCAAAAAATTGTTGCATAACACATAGATATTATGCGCATATAATGAAAATTTGTGTGGTTGCATAATTGACATGATTTCTATTTGTTTTGAGTTTAAGATGATGCCAGCAGTTCTTAGGTCATTTGATTGGCTCATGCTCCACCTTTCTTACTCTCCACACATCCTGACTGACTGTAGCCACTGAGTTTGGTACTATCAGTCCCGGATAGGTCCTTATTCCTTTCTCCTGAAACACATTACTTCCTCCTCCTCCTCTGTCTGTCCCTCTAATAAGCCTTTCCCTCTGCTCTTTATACCTCTTATGGCATGTCCTACACAGGCTGCTCTCATGGACCAGATATGCAGCTTCCTCTGGTTTCAGTTTTTCCTTCAGCATCCCCTCAGCAACCCCCTGAACATATGATAGAGGATTTCGCTTTATATTCAGCTTAATAAGGTTCTGTAGGAATTTCAGAAACTCTGGTAGCTCAGTGAAGAGGTTATCAAACAGGCCTAACTCTTGGAGACTTTTTAGAGTCACCATAGTGAGAGGCAGGGTGTCCAACCGGTTCATCCCCAGATTGAGACTCTTCAGGTTGGTGAGAGAACCCAATGTGGAAGGTAAACCCACTGAGGTTATGTGGTTATTAGAGAGGTTGAGGTGCGTCAGTCCCACCAGGTTACCGATGGACTCGGGTAGAGACTCCAGCTTGTTGCCATGTAGATCCAGCCATCTGAGTGACAAGCAGTTCCCGATGTTATCTGGGAGTTTTTGTATCAGGTTGCGGCTGAGGTCCAGCTCGTCTACGTTGGACAATTTTAGTAGACATTTTGGGAAGATGGTTATACCCATGTTGCTGAGGGTGAGTCTGCGCCATCCATCTGGGGTCATCTGTATTGCCTTTTTGGCAATCTTGAGGGTTACCTTTGTCCCTTTGGCTGCCTTTCCTTTGGGCATGGTACTGCAACACACACAGATGTTCTGGTTAAAATTTCAGCTCAGCCTCACTTTTGTGATAGTTGCCCCACCCCCACCACTACCAAGAGGCTGGTTTGTAATCTACACCAGCACACAGTGCTATAGCAAACAACTGTGTTGTGTGTATGTTTATGTGCAAGTATGTGTGTGTAAGGCTGATGTGATTTATTCAGATACAAGGGTTTATGTATGGCCTGAGGGAGGAGGGAAAGCACACT